TCTCTCTCTCTCTCCTCTCTCTCTCTCTCTCTCTCTCTCTCTCTCTCTCTCTCTCTCTCTCTCTCTCTCTCTCTCTCTCTCTCTCTCTCTCTCTCTCTCTCTCTCTCTCTCTCTCTCTCTCTCTCTCTCTCTCTCTCTCTCTCTCTCTCTCTCTCTCTCTCTCTCTCTCTCTCTCTCTCTCCTCTCTCTCCCTCTCTCTCTCTCTTTTCTTTTCTTTTTTGCTTGCTCATACTTCCTTTTCCTCGTCTCTTTCTTTCCATTGCCTCATGAGCGACGCGTGTTGCTAGATAAAGCCTTTGAAGTCGACTCTTTTGTAAATCGACGTTATTATTGTAATTGAATACTTGTCTCTCCCAGAGAAATATCCTTTGGGTTCGCGTACTTACGATGCGGGGATCAAATTGGATCTAACGCCGTGTGAGGACAAAAAGGGGAATTGATAGTCAAAGTTCCTCGCGACTCATGTCGAGCTTCAGCGAGTTCTCATTCCAATTTCGAAAAATTCCAATTGAAGAAAAAAATGTGCGATGTTAAACGCGGAAAAATTTTCAGCTTACTAGTTTTTTCTCGGATATTAAATATCACACGTTTGACACAAAGTATGATTGGTTATTTGTACATTTATCTTACTTCTAGATTATTTTATTCACGCATTATTGTAAATAATTAAAAAATAACAATGCCAACAAAATATATATCAAAGCAAAATTTTTACACAGTATTTTATCAAAGCATGTGCACTTGATGTCTATTTTTCCCTTTTTTTAGTAATAAAAACTTACTCATCACTTTAGTAACAAAACGTACTCATAATTTCCGTTGTAAGATCTTTTTAGCATTTTCCTTCAATTATCATGCATCCTTTGACGCCTATTGTGACGTATTCAAAAAAAAGATCGTAAAACCAACACATTTACTTATTTATTTTATTGCAATCATTTAACTGCAATCAGGGGCAATTTGTGATTTGCGAATTATCCGCACTTCATGTCTCCACCATGATAAACAAATATAAATAACGATATCAATTATCCAATATACAGAAAATTCGTAAAATGTGCAAACTAACGGCAACGTTTTGCTGCAAATTGCGCGAATTTTGGTCAGCGAGAATTTTGAGCTTAAAAAGGGCAATTAACCGCGTAGGAATTAAAGGCCTCGTGTTTCAGGATAGACTGATCGAATGATAATGATATAGAATCATATCAAAAATCGTTACAAAAAGATAATAATAATTGCATACTAAAGTGATTCGCAATAAGAAGCCATTTAAAAGCAGACGAGTGTAAAATATATTATAATAAATACGATATAAATATTCAAATTAAACAGAAATTCTTCACTTAAGCAAAAAATAATATTTTTAACTAAAAAAAATTGTAATAAAATAAAAAAGTAGCAGAAAATTTACGCCATTAATTCGTAATTAAAAACTTTCACATAAATTGTACAAAGAGTGCGAAACATTTATCGATCTGCTATCTTAACATAAAAGTTTCAATTGCTTAAAAGTAGTTGTTGAAAATAAAGGACGAATGAAAGAACGCGCGAACAGATTTGAATCGGACGCATTTCGCGATATCAAAATCTCCCCAGGCATTCAATTAATTTCGCCATTATCCCCTGCTTCCGTCTTAACGCGTGTATAATCCGCGATGCGGATGTCTATCTCTCTTTCTCTTCCTCTCGGGCAAACCGGAACTAAGCTTACAAGCGCATTAGCGTACACAAGCGCGCGCGCGCGCGAGTCTCACTCGAAAGTTAGAAATATCTGTTTTCCCGGCGAGCAGAGAGCGAAGCTAGACACAGTTATGAGATGGCGTCGCGCAGAAGACTGCGTTAATTAGGTACGACTTCCTAGGCGCCGCCGGGACGTAATTAGGAGTCCGGCCAACGAATCCGGACGGAGGAGAGAGAGAGAGAGAGAGAGAACCCCGCCGACCCGTCAGGGTCGTCGCGTATCGACTAATGTCGCTTTAACATTGTATCCGAATTATCAGTTGCCGCGCCAGACCGACCGGATTAATTAAGCTAATTATTGTTTGCGCTCGAATGCGCGCGACCGAAGCCGTTTCGCACCGCTGCGGACGCGTTTCGAAGGCACGCGCGTAAGATCCGCGATTATTGCACGGATGGACGGTTTTCGCACGCGACAAGCACCAACCGAGAAATGCGCTTGCAAATTTCCGACCGGAGCTGTCGATGTTCGAGAAACCGAAACTCTCGATAAATCGGATTTCCTCGGGAGTTTCCAGTGACGAAATTCGACTAGTTTCGAGCTTTTCTCTCTCCGCCGAGAGAGTAATTGCATATGAGAAATTGTTATACGCGCGTACTTCACGGCAGTGAATAGCGCGAAACCGAATTTTAATACGATAGATTTAATATATTTATGCGACGCCTCTCTCTCTGTTATGTATTAAGAGGAGGGAGCACAAATTAATTAATTAATTAAAAATTATGCAATTTGAATTAATATTAAATATTAACAAATTTTGAAACACATTGAAATAAATTTAATATTAATAGAATATTTTAATAAATTGAATTAAACTGTCAATTTACTTATCATCTATATTTTGATTAATTTGAGAATGAAAAGTAAATTAAAATATCATAATTGGTATCCTCGTTTATGGCATCCACATCTGTTCGTATTTAACAATAACAATAATGTACACTGCAATCGTATATTTTTTTAATTTATCGATATCTGTACAAATGCTTATGATTCTAGACACGCTAGCATTGCGCTTGCGCTTTTCTTTATCATCAACAGCATACACAGATGGCTCGTTGTGCACATCGCATTCATCGGTCCTTTCTCCGTCGTCCCTATCCTTGCTGTCCCGGCTGTCGTTACCGTTATTGTAACGACGCCTGTCAGGTGCAAAGATTTGTATCGAGACGCGATTGGCGCAATACGCGCCGAGTGTATCGGATTCGACACGAATAAATTTCGCGCTCCCTCTCTCTAAGTTGCGCATTAAGGATTACGCGCGGGAGGATACTGATGGAATTTCGAGACTGCTACGTCGAAATTGCACTCGCGTGGATAGCCACGCCTCAACGCACACGATACAGTATTTTCTGTTAAATTTGTCTTTTATCAAGGCTGCTCTTCTTTCACAATATTCGAGATGAAGATTTATTTTCACGATATTAATTTCTTTTTTGGATTACTAATTTTTTTTAATGTCTTTATTGCAATATTTTATTACGCTGCAAAAAATATACGTATTCCGAGAACATTGCAAACAATAGCTACTTCAGTTTGTTAAATATACTTTATTACGACAAATAAATACGTATATTTTTTATTCTTTTTAACAATTTTATTTTTTTCTAAAATTAACATCTCGAATTGTTAATATTTGCTAATAAAATTTCTTTCTTATAAAACAGATTTCTCAAACATTTCGATTGCGGATACTACGTCGGTAATGCTTAATGATTCGAATGACTATTGAACTCCTAATCGTAGAACCTAACAACGTGGTGAAACTAATTGCATATTGATCGTAATATCGATGTATTGCCTAGTTAATTGCA